CGTAAGATTTCTGTCTTAACTGTCCGGTGACCGCTGGTAGCGCCGGAGCCCTCTGACGCTTTGCTGTGAATGTTGAAACCTGTCGCTAGAAGATGCGCTCCCGGGGGCCCGTGCTGCGGCGGCCGCTCAGGGACCCCGAGTTCTAGCACGGTGACAGCGGCACCTCATCTCCCAGCCCGCTCTTACCTGTTCGTGGTAACGTTGTAAGGCCCGAGGTAGCGGCTGGGCCGTGTCTGAGCCGTTCGGGGGTTCCGTGTGACCTGCCCTTGCTGCTCAGTGTGGGGCAGGGCCCGGGGGGGGAGCGCCCCTACCTGGCACTCGAAGATGACCAAGAAGAAGGCTAGAGACCCGGGAATGTGTGCGTGTCTCTCTAACACTGGTGAATGTTCACATCCGCCACACGCTGTAATTTCTAAGCATTTTCATTCCAATAAATGTATCGACTCTTTTTTAAAAAACGTAACCTGTCTTAATTTTAGTTCCTCGGCTGGTCTGGGTTCTAATTCAGCACCTCCTATACCTGATTCAAGGCTCGGGGAAGAGAACAAAGGACATCAGATGCTGGTGAAAATGGGTAAGGTTCCTGGGAAGAACCACCACCCGCTTTGGGCTTTTTGGGGCTGGGGAGCCAGAGAAGGCTCCGACCCGCCGCCGTCTCGCCGGGCGTTCGTGCCCACCACCGCCGGCGCACGCGCGTGGGAGCACACGGGCGCGTGTCGTCCGGCCCCGCACGTGAGACCCCGTTTAAGTTCGCGGACAAACGGGCCCGGTTTCAACTCCCGTGGGTTGTAACCGCCTTTTCCCCCCGCTTCTTCTTAAGGCTGGAGTGGATCTGGTGGCCTCGGCGTGAAAGAGCAAGGGATCCAGGACCCCATCAAGGGGGGGGACGTCCGGGACAAGTGGGACCAGTACAAGGGCGTGGGCGTGGCCCTGGACGACCCCTACGAGAACTACCGCCGGAACAAGAGCTACTCCTTCATTGCCCGCATGAAGGCCAGGGACGAGTGCAAGTAGGCGCTCGGCGGGCAGGAGCCGTTGGGACCTTCCCGGCTTACTGGCAGTGACAGATGGTAGGGACAGCTCGGTGGTCACATAGTCTCCATCCTTGGGGAGCGACAGAAGAGAAGGAAGACGACAGCATGCCTCGGGAGAGGGCCGTGCTCCACAGCGCGGGAGGCCCCCCAGGCCCCGCCTGCAAACCAGCTCTCCCGTAGAAGCCAGAACCCGCCCGGAGAGGCCCCGGCCGCCCGGCCACAAGCCGCCTTCCCTTGATGGAGCAGTGAGAAAGCCTGAGACCCTCCACCCCTGGATACGAATTCCCGACACCCGAAGGCACGGCTGTTTGCACCTCCCCGCAGTCCGCTCGGAGCGTCCGCTTAGGCCGGGAGGAGCGTGTGGAGGACGGGCCCCGGGCCAGGCGCCGGTTACAACCAGAAAATCAGACCCTCTCTGATTGGCAGAGTTACACAGGGCTTTCATTTTTTACTCCAGATGTTTAGTTTTAGAGAAGGGAATGTTGCTCTCGGAGGATCCCAGTGAGAATTTGAAACCGGATTCCTCTAAGACGTGCTCACAGCCCGTAGTTCAGTTACTTTAGTTGTTTGAGTTGAAATTTTTTCCCCAAACGTTAGCCACTCACGGTCCCTGCAGAAACAAAGGTTCTAAGGAAGCTGATCTGAGGCATCTTCAGGTCACGGAGTGACGCCCTCGAAGAGCCTGCACCCTTAAGCGTCTCTGCTTGTGTTTCTCACTTAGAGGAACCCAACACCAGCGCTCACGTGGACGGCCTGCTCCGCTCTGGGGTGTGGAGAGCGAGCCCCGCCATGCCTCCGGCCCGCCCCACCCCACCAGCAAGGGGGCCCCCCCGGCCGGGCGGTGGGGGGGGGGAGGGGCAGACACCGCCCCGGGGACGGCGCAGGGACGGCCACACCTGGCGTCTGTGGGCAGCTCGTGCGGTGCCGTCTCTTTGTACAGAAACATTTTTGAAAAATCCTTTTCAATAAGATGCAGAGTCCTCTCCAACTTTTCAACCTGATGTGATAAAATAATTTGATTTTGTTCTAGATTTCCTGTAGCTGTGAATTGTTCAAACGTGTCTGATTCAGGATAAAACGTAAACACATGCTGTTAACGATTTCTTGTGGATTTTACTGTTTTGCCTTCAAATAAAAACTTTTTTTAAAGACCTTTTTCTCTGTGTGTTCAAGTTAGAAGCGCACTCGGGCCGAGTCAGGAGGGGCCGTGCCCGGCGTGCAAGTCTGTCCTGAGTCGTGCAGTCCGGTCAGAAGCCATGTCCTGGCATCTCCCGTCGGTGTCCCCGGCGTGGGCATCTGGTGCTGGCTCCTGTGGAGCAGACGGGGCTTCTCAGCCCTACCATCTAACCTCTGCTCATGAGGAAGGCAGCCCCTGGCCAGTCCGGCCGCCCCGCGGGGCTCCAGGCAGGCGGGCACCCTCCGTCCCGCTGGGAGCGGTGACCGAGCCGAGCCACCCGTGGGTCCGGCTCCCCCGGCCTGTGTCTCCTCTCGGGTCAGGTGCCGGGCAGCCCGGGGCGGGGGGGGGGGGGGGGGGGGCGGGGCGGGGGCTGGGAGCAGTCAGCCCCTCAGCTGGGAAAGGCTGGAGCCGGGACTCCACTCAGGTGAGTCCTGGGTGCCACCTCCCACCACCATCCCCTGGAAAACGTGTGAGCGTCACAGCCGGCGTGCTGGCCTGCCGTGTTACAGCTCGAGCCCACAGACCCCGCCTCACCTCCTGGAACTCACAGCTCCTTCTTCACCTCCTCCAGGGCGTCCTCCATGGACAGCGGCGCGGGCCTGTGGTGCCTGATGTACTGTGGGGCAGAGGACAGAGATGTCACCACCGCTGCCTCAGTCCACCGAGGCTACTGAGGCCTGGGGTGTTGGAGGCGGTGCCTGTCCCCAGTGGCTCCCGGGCAGGCGGACGGAAAAAGAGGCGGGATGCCACGTGACAGTGCTGTGGAAACGAGAGATGAACCCAGAAGGCACCCGGCAGAGCACCCTGCAAGGGGTGAGCCCTGACTGGGTCTGAAAGGGAAGCACGGCCGTGGCTGGGGATGGGGCCGGCGAGGGGCGCTGCCCGGGGGGCCCTCAGAGCACACGGGGCCCGGGCGCAGGCCTCAGTGAGGAGCCACGGTGGGCCGCAGGCAGGTGACGCGGGCAGACCGCTGCAGCTGCGGCCCATCAACCAACGTACAGGACCGAGCGAAGCGAAAGGACTCTGCGGGGGGCGCAGTCAACGGTCCAGAATGGGGGCAACCGTCGAAGAAACAACCTGTTTCCTTGAACAAATAAACTACAAGGAGACATCAGAGGGGGGGGGCGGGGGGGGGGGGGGGGGGAGCGGCGCAGGGGACACCTGAGGAGCACGGTTCTCAAAGTGGGCACCCCTGTGGTATGTGCGAGAACCGCTGCTCTGACCAGGAGGCCAAAAAGACCCCGGACAGTCTTGATGTATGGACTTTGTCTGGGTTCTGATGAAAAAACAACAAAACGTACAACTTTCATGAGACGAGTGGAAATCTAACACTGGATATCCAACGATATTAGGAAAAGCCCGTTTGGCCTCGGGATTATCGTGGTATCGTGAGCATATTGTTCAAAAGTCCTCTGTTTTGAGAACTGCGGACTGACGTATTTGTAGATGAAAGGACAGAAATCCCCATGCAGAACAGCTCATACAGTACAATGCCATTTCTATAAAGAAACACACACTGGATAGAATGTTACACCTCTCACGTTGTAACATGTATCTGATAATACACAGTACCACAATATTATACAGTCCATACATAATACAGTTCATGTTTCACACAGGGAAAATCCAAAGAACACTGAGTTGGTAATGATCATCTCTGAAGTTATGGAGGGCTTTAAAAACTACCTCTCTAACAAAAATTTTTATAAAATGAGCACACATTTTTTTTTTATAATCAGACAAAAATTAAATCTGGGGAGACAGAGAGGTGAGTGTGATATTCTCAGCACTTCAGCTCCCAGGACTAAGGAGAGAGGCCCTGCGGGGACGGAGCTTGGGAAGGGTCTGTGTGCAGGGACGGGAGCCCCTCTCCCCACTGCCTCCGCCCCGAGGTCAGAAGCAGGCTCCCTCTGCTGGGACCACAGCGTCCCCGCTGCCCGGCCTGAGTCCCGTCCCCCTCCACGAGCGAGGCCCCTGCCCTCTCTCCCGGGAGGGGCGGTGTGCTGCGGTCACCTGTTTGGTTTCCTCCAGGGTGTGGTAGTGGAACGAGTCTCGGTCCAGGGACTGCAGCAGGGACCCGTGCAGGTGCCGGCTGGCCTCCACGAACTGCTGCGTCAGGCTCAGCTGCTGCTTCAGCATGTCATTGAGCGCCAACACGGCCGGGCTGTAAGCTGTCAGGGCTGCACCGGCTCCGTGTCACTCGGCCGGCCCGCCCACCGGCCCGCCTCCCCACGGGTGCCCCCCCAGAGCAGGGGGAGAAGGTCCGCGGCTTGGGGCCCCTGTGCTCGGCAGCGCCCACGTGCAGCCACGTGGGGATGCTTTCTGGAAGGTCCTGCCCCCAGAAGTACCGAAGGCCCCACTGGTCCCTCCCAGCCGCCTCTGCCCTGGAGTGAGCGAGCTGCTTTCTGAGGGCTGGTATGGGACTCTCGAGAGCCGCTCGTGCGGGATGCTCAGCGCCCAGGCAGAAACCTGAGTCTTAACGTCCGACCGCAGGACGAAGTCTAGTCAATCGGCATCCCCAGCGGTACACCTGCCCCACGGGAACCCTCTTCACGCCACTGGACTGGACACTAAGAAATAGCTAAGGGGGTAAATCCTATGTGGGTTTTTTTAAAAAGACTTTATTTATTTATCTGATAGAGACAGAGAAAGCGTGAGCAGAGAGAAGGAGAAGCAGGCTCCCCGCTGAGCAGGGAGCCTGACACGGGACTCGACCCCAGGACCCTGGGATCATGACCTGAGCCGAAGGCAGACGCTCAACCGCCTAAACCACCCAGGTGCCCCACGTTACGTGTTTTTAAACACAAAACTAAAATAAAACTAAAACTAAAAATAAAAAAGTTTCCATTAAACTCAAAATACACTGAAGAATGGAAGCTGTGCAAGTGTTCGAAAGGATCATTGGAAGGCTGCGTAACTACAGAGAACAAGCTCGGGGGTGACAGCTGAACGGGAGAGTTTTTTGAAAGGATATAAACAATTCTGTGGTTACAACCAGTGTGTTTTAGTATCTTCATCTTTAAAAAAAATTGGAAAGCGCGAAAACGTAAGAGGTACTAGATGGACCCGTTTGTGTCCCTCAAGTGGTCAGTGGCCCTGTGAGGACCTGACGGAGCCTGGGCCTCCCCCACCGCAGGCCGGGCCGGGCCGCCCGGGACCCTGGCACTCCCCGGGCTCGGCAAGGCACCAAGGCCCGTGGCTACTGGGCTGGCTGCCTCTCAGCACCGGCTGAGTGTCTTTGGGGGGAAAAACTACTATGGATTCTGGACACACAGGCGTGGCGGGGGGGGGGGGGGGGGGGGGGGGGGGGGAGGGGAGGGACACGCAGGAACAGCTTGGCTGGGGTGGAGGGCTCAGAGTTGTGTTACTCATAACTTCCCTGTTTTATCCGACACGGGTGTCCTTTGGCAAAACAGACCGAAGGTTCTCGGACACTCAGTCTGTCGTCCAGGATCCGTGGCAGTTGCCTGTGGCTGCGACAGTCTCACCAACAGATCCCCCCCCGCACCCGGCACTAATGCGGGGCACCGCCCCTCCCCGGGTGGCCGTGAATCTGCGCCTTCACCGCCAGGACCCACGGAGCGGGGCTGTTACCTTCTATCGAGTCCGCGCTGACGACGTGACTGGCAATGGGCACGGGGTCCACGTAGGCACCTCCCAGGGCGGGCCCAATGGCCGCAATGCCGGCCCCTGTCCCAGCGACAAAGGGGGGGGGTGAGTGGGCAGGACGCCTTTCATCAGTGGACGGGACATGAAACAGGCTACACGAATCTCATCTTTTCTCTTCTGAAGGACAGCCACCCTTCTGGCTTTGTTCACCTCTTCTCCTTTTAAAATTTCCCCAAGCCTGCCTCCATCTTTCTGCTGGCTTCTCCTGGTACAGGTCAGCTGAGCTGGCCCAAGCGGTCACCGCGGTCACACCGGCTAGTCACGGCGGCATCGGACCCTCCCCACCTCGGCCTTCCATCCGCGGGCCACGAGCAGGCTTCGGGCTGTGCCCTGGACTCTAAGAAGCCGCTTTATTTAGGCTGTGTTTTCCTCTCCTTTCAGTGTCAGGCCTAGTCTAGGAAAACAGCCTCGGCTATGTCTTACGAAAGCTCCCTCGAAATTTCAAAAAGGTACAGAAATGCACACATTTGTCCGCGATGGACAACCGGCTACGTCGTCAGGCAGCACGAGGCTGTGGAGAGGAACGCAGAGGTTTCCGAGTCGCAGAACCGGGCTCCCAGTGCCTCGAACGCCTTCTAGCCATCTGACTTGGCACATCTGCCTGACTTTCCTCCCCGAGAAGCAAGAGAATGGTCATGCCCCATCCCGGTGTGCAGCCCAGGCTGATTTACGGCTAAGCCCCCCCAAATCAAAATGCACACCGCAGGTGAGAGGTACGGCCCCTTGGGCAGCCCAGGAACAAGCTCTGGTGACACTGTGGGTGTCCACCTAGATGAGAAAAGAGAGCGGGGGAAGGTTTAAAAGAAAGGGGCCTTTCCGTTCAGATGGGCCAAGACCGAAGCGGGGGCCAAGACCGAAGCGGGGGCCAAGGGAAACGTCTGGAAGGTCACACCGGGCGTGAAGAGAAATGTCGGCCTGGGGCTGCTGCCCCTCATCCTCGGGAGACGAAACGTGCCCCGCGGCCCCCTGAGCTGCCTAACGATGATGACCCGAACCTCCAGACCCTGAAGCTCTCGGTCGTGCTTCCAACGATGCCCGCAGCACGGACCGCGAGAGCCTGCGCCTCCCTCGTGGGGCCCACCCGCTTACCCTCTGCCCACTGGTAGGTGAAGGCGGGCTCGAGGGTCTGCACAGCCGTCTCCTTCATGAGGACTCTCGTAACGTCCCTGACCTGCTTCTTCCAAGGCTTGAGTGTTGGCAGGGGAAGGTCTGGCTGCAGGCTTGCAGAGAAGTCTGACAAAGTGTCTGGCGTCCTGTCGGGAGACTCCTCAGAATGGGCCCTTGACTCGGATGCTGTTTCAAAATCTTCCGAGTAAGCCGAGCTCACCGTGCTCGCCGTGGGCTCCTGAGACTTCGGCCTCGGGCTGGAAGCACCCTCAGGCTCAGCGGAGGAGACCGACGGCTCACTCAGGCACTCGGAGACCTCACTTCCGGTGGGGGGACCCCCGGCCTGGGGGCTTTGGCTGGATGCCTTTTCCCGCTGGCCTTCTTTCTAAAATGAAGAATGACAGAGGTAACTGGCAAGTGGTTTTGTCCGATCAGCATGCTCAAAATACCACTGCGTTGGAATGGGTCCCCGGGGGGCCCAGCAGGTGGGGGTTCGCACTGGTCCCTCGGCGGCTTGGGGCGGGCCCCGGACTGTGAGCGGAACTCGTGAGACGCTTCAGCCTCACGGGACTGCCCCATTTGAACACCGAAGGCGTGAGCCTGTGTCGGTGGCACGTGGATGAACTCTGCTTAAGTGTCATCATTCTGTATTATGACAACGTGCTTTCGGGAGTGAGGAGGTTACTAATGTGGTGAGAATCACAACGGGACGCTGGGCTGAGCACAGGTCGGCGCGGTGTTGTTACGGGGTGGTTTAAAGTGGGACCTGCCTCAATCCTCTGCTACATTAAGTAGTTTTCTCCTGTTATCACCCAAATCAGGGTCTCTCACCCAGGGCACTCTTGACATTTGAAACTCAAATATTCTTCGCAGTGGGGCCATCCTGTGCTGTGTGGGACCCTGAGCAGCGTCCCTGGCCGCCACCGCGCCCCCACCCCGGTCCCACCGCCCACTGCCAGCAGCGCCCTCCAACCCCAGTCATGACCAAAAATGTCTCCAGACATGCCAAGTGGCCCCTGGGGGTGAAGGACTACGGGCCTCAATGAAGCACCACCATGGCAAGCCTCTCCACATGACTGACAATGAAAACTGAAGTCGGCTATACTTACTTTCTGTTCCAAGTCTGAGTTCTCGCTGACAGCTGGAGCCAGATCATCAAGGGATAAAAGATTGATTCGAAAATCTGTAATCAAAAATGCAACATGACAACATTGACTCATTTATTTCCTCCACAGCGTTTACCAGAAACGTGCAGTCTCTGTCCTTAATAAGCCAGCACAAGGATTGACACACTCTTTCTCTAAGTAGTAAATATTTTCCACTTTGCATCCTAGCCTGTATCACAATTACTCAGCTTTGTCCTTACGGTGCAAAGAGCCGCCACAAACCATGTGTAAAACAAGTGGAGGCGGCTTATATACTTATATACTTTATAAACTATAAAGTTTATAAACTTTATTTATAAAAACAGACACTAGGCCAGATGAGTCGTTGGCGGCAACGCAGTGAAGGATGCGTGGTATCAAGGGTGCTCAAGGTATGGGGGGTGGGGATGGGGGACAACTCAGGCAGACACAAGACTAGACCCGAAGTGTCCTAAGTTCCCATTTAAAACAAGTTAAGGGCACAGGAGCCTAAAGTGAACGAGCACTGGGCGTGCCAAAGGGCCTGTCGCCAGTGCCTGCACACGTGGGTGCTGCAGACTTGGGAGTACAGAGTCCTCGGCGGAGTTCTGGTATTCCAGACAGATTTCTCTGGACCCGACAAACGAGCCCGCGCCTCGAGGCAGACGGGCAGTGAACATCAGCCAACGTTGACAGGAACTCTATTATGTGGTTCAGGTCAGGCCCTGAAGCACGGGAGCGGGGCGGGGTGTGGTGAGAGAGGGTGAGAGGGTGAGAGAGAGAGAGAGAGAAAGAGAGAGAGAGAGAGAGAGGGAGAGAGGGAGAGTGTGCCCGGCAGCGGGCACAGGAGGGAGCGGGGCCCTCGGGGCAGCAGGGCCAGAGCTGGAGGCGAGAGGGGTCTGCCCCCCAACACCTGCTGGTCCTAAGCCCCAGAGTGATTCCCCCTCATCACTACAGTCCTGGGGGCTCAGCCCTCCTCCGCGCTCTCTTACTCTGACGGTCACCACAGTTCACATGGCGGGGAGGCCCAAAGACACAACCCTGGAAAAGCCTCTGAACTAAAAGGCATCCCAGCCGGCCCAGAGCAAAGGCACTGGGGTGATTCTGGACTTGAGCACTTTGAACAGCGCCGGCACTGGCTGAGGACAAATGTCATGGTCACGCCGGCCAACCTTCCCGCGGCGGGCCAGCCGAGGCGCTTCACAGGCACGATCTCACCAGCATGGCCCTGCCCCCACTTCGCAGATGAGGAGACTGAGGCACAGGGAGCCCGAGACCGCACGGCCAGCAAGAGGGGAGGCCAGGGCGTCCACCCCAGCTACGTCAGACCCGAAACTCAGAACGTATTCACCACTCCCAGCTTGCCTCCCTCTCGGAGGCTACATCTGGACAGAGGAGGGCAGGGGCTGGCCACCAGGCGAGGGCCCTCCAGGCCGGCAGCGAGGACAGACGGCAGAAGGGCAGGGACCTGGGTCCGTCGCTGCCCTGCCAGCCTACGCCCACCTTCCCACCCACGTGAGGGAGGTGACACGGGGCCAGGGGGGCAAGGACACCCACTTACCAGCCCCTCGGGCCCAAGGATCAGAACCACGATTAGCGAGGTGCCACATGGCATCCAGCAGATGGCAGCCACCGAGGGGGCCCCAAGGGGCTTCTCACACCGGCAGCCTAAGGCCGGGCCCCCTGCATTCTCCGGCCCTAACGAGGGCACCTTTGTTGGCAACACTCCCCGCTGCCTCGGCAGATCTGCTGCTGCCCCTACTGGGGCGTTCACACCCAGGGTAGTCTGTGATGGCGTTCGGAACACACCGCCCCGACACTCGGCACCTTGGCATACTGAGTATTTCAGGCTGAAGGAACCTGAGCAAGGGCAGGTGCTGTGAGAGGTAGCCGCCCTTCTCCCCAGAAGCAGCTCACAAGACCCTCGAGTGAGAAGTGCCCTCCCTCTACCCGCAGGAAAGGAGCCTCCTCTTTCCAAGATGGAGGGACTCCAAGAGGAATCCCAGCAGGCCTCACTAAGTGTGCCCCTTTACTACCCTTAGCTCATTGCCTTTTGTCCAATCACGTTTTTCCACGACTTTCCACTCCTCATCAAGCCTAACATAAAAATGCTCACACACAACTGCTGCTTCGGGTCTTCATTTCTTTTATGAAGGCTCCTGTGTCACATAAAACTAATATTGGATATTTATTTAACATTTATTTAACATGCTTTTCTTCTGTGAATCTGTCTTTGGATGCAGGGCCCCAGCCGGGACCACAGAAAAGCGATTTTTCCTCCCCTACTGCTGAGTCACGAGTTCCAGGTCCCCCAGCACGCAGGGGCCAGGGCGCTTGTGGGCCTGTGTGCCATCACCCTCCTGCCAACACAACAGCTGGCGCCTCCCGGTGCCCAGGGGGCCTTCGGGACACAGTTCTACTTTGGGTCTCACGATGAAGTGCCCCAGACAGAAGACGTAAGTGTTGGCTGCACATCTTTTTCCTTTCTTTTTTAAATACATGTAATACTAAGATAACAATAATGTTGGCGCGCCTGGGTGGCAGGCGGTTAAGCGTCCAACTCTTCGTTTCAGCTCAGATCATGACCCCAGGGTTGTGGGATGGAGCCCCATCCCACCGTCGGGCTCGGTGCTCAGCGGGGAGTTGGCTTGGGATTCTCTCTCTCTCCCTCTGACCCACCCCCTGCTCATGCTCTCTCTCTCTCTCTCTCCTTCTCTCTCTCAAATAAATAAATAAATAAAATCTTTTTTAAAAAAGACAAAAACAATGTCGAATGATGTTGAAATAACAGAAACGTCTAATCGTGACTGCTTAGAGATTTACTTCCTTTTCCGAATTTAAAAAAGAAAGGAGGCAAATTTCTCTTTCACCAAAAGGAACACTGAATCGCCCCTCTGCCGTACGTGGCTCCTCCAGGATTTTGTTTTTGGGCTATTGCTCTGTCACTGGTCAGGTGAAGACAGATGAAGACATTAGAGATAGAACAAAAATCTGACTTGGCCCCTCCACCAAGAAAGAAGGTCAGGAAGCAGAGGGTGTAGCGTGAGCCACGCACTTCCCATGGCAATACCCAGTGACCGTCCGTCCCCCCCCCCGCCCCACCGGCCAGGGACCCTCCAGGTGGTCTCGCCCTTCCTGCCCAGGGTGACAGCTGGGCATAGGGCCATGGGTTACCGTTCAGGCTGTCATCAGCAGCTTCTGAGAGGGACTCATCACATGGCCCAGCCTCACTCCTTCCAGGGGAGGAGGAGAACTTGTCATGCTGCACCATCGAGGCTGACTTTGGAGAGGTGCCAGTGATGGAAAGCGATGCCGTGTGGGCAGCTGTGTCCCCTGAAGTGTGAGTCTGTGAGGAGTGAGCTCTTGAGCGCACGCTGCGAAGGGTCCCGTCTGCGGACGGTGAGGCTGGCAGAGGTGATGTCCGAAATGACTTTGGGCTGGAAAGTTCCTCACTGGGCAGCGAAAGGATTCTTGGCTGAGTTGGGATCTGATCCTACTTTGGCGGAAATAAATGAAATTAATTACCGAACCGGTGACAACGAAGTCCTTACCCCTGAACAATGTGGCCAGAGTGGGGCATGGGGCCAAGGGTCAGTGATCAAATTGTCTTTCTCTCCCTCTCCCCTCATTTCTAGGAGTCAAGCTACAACATTTAAACAAGATAATACTGGGACCAGAACTATTCCACAAATAATCAGAAATATCACTTGGCTTTCAAATGAATTTTGTTAATTACACCTTTTCTAAATTAAGGCCCCTGAAGGGCACCTGGATGGCTCAGTCGGTTAAGCATCTGCCTTGGGATCAGGTCATGGTCTCAGGGTCATGGGATCAAGTCCCACATCGGGCTCTGTGCGCAGCTCAGAGTCTGCTTAAGGATTCTCTCCCTTGCCCTCTGCCCCTCCCCCAACTCATGCTCTGTTTCTTACTCTCTCTCAAATAAATAAATAAAATCTTTTAAAAAATAAATAAAATTCATTAAGTAAGTCCCGAGTATATGGTCTATGATAGCCTGGACCTTCAACAGAATCAAAATGTATATACAGATATTTTTTCCCCTTAAAATGCAGCCTTCCCACCACTTTACACCCATGAAGATGGCTCTAGTCACCAGTGTTAGCTCTGATCACAAGTGCTGGTGACGATGTGGAGAAACTGGAACCCTCATGCACTGCTGCAGGGATGCAAATGGCCCAGCTGCTGTGGAACATAGCTTGGCATTGCTTCAGTACGTTACACATGGAATTACTAGAGGGCCCAGTCATTCTGCTCATAGGGACAGACCCCAAAGAACTGAAAACAGGGACTCAAACAGATATGTGTACACAAATGTTCCTAGTAGCACTATTCACAGATAGCCAAAAGGTGGAAAAGACCCAAATGCCCAACAATGGGTGGTGGATAGATAAGACGCAGTACATTCACACAATGGCGTCTCACTCAGCCATAAAAAGGAATTAAGCTCTGACACATGCTACAATGTGGATGAACCTCGAAAACATTACACTGAGTAAAAGCAGCCAGTCACGGAAGGTCACATACTGGATGATTCCATGTATATGAAACATCCCCGCCAGTCAGATCCACAGAGACAGAAAGCCGATTAGAAGTTGAAAATGAGGAGTGATTATTTAACGGGTACAGGGTCACCTTTGGGGCTGACGAAAACGTTCTGGAACCAGACAGAGCTGTGGTGGTTGCACATCACAAATGGACTAAATGGTGCTGAATTGTTCTTCTTACAAATCTTACTTTTTGGTTATGTGAATTTCATCTCAACTGAAAAAAAATGCAAGTGCAGCTACGCCACGTTTCCCGTGCGGGGCCACTGACAAGCAGGTGTGGATCGCCACTGGCGAGCGGTCACACAAAGTGCTGACCCGAGGTGCATACACTTCCTCCAGACGTTATAAACTGCCTAATATGTCCCAAATCCTGTCACCCACAGAGCAGGCCCCAAAACAGGGAGCCGTGACTGGCTGGAGCCCAACCGTTCCTTGTCAAACCCCTTCCTTAGCCCACAGGAGACGGCGGCTGTCGAGTGTCTAGCTCCGTGACATAAAGAGCAGACGCGAGGCTTCGTTAAGGATGAGTATATGTGGGGCACCTGGGTGGCTCAGTCATTAAGTGTCCAACTCTTGATTTCGGCTCAGGTCATGATCTCAGCTTTCTGAGATTGAGCCCCACATCGGGCTCCACGCTGGGCATGGAGCCTGCTTTAAGATTCTCTCTCTCTCCCTCTCCCTTTGCCCCTCCACCTGCTTGTGCTCTCTCTCTCTCTAAAATAAATAAAATCTTAAAAAAAAAAAAAA